TTAATAATAAAATTTTGAAAGTGATATGTTTTAAATCTTACAAACCGATCTATAATTTAACCTGTGTAAAATTCACTCACATCAATAAGCTTTGAATTATTTAAAGAAATTTTGTAAATTATTTCAGCCACAATTTATTATTTTATATGTACTATATTTTATTAATCTTAAATTTTATTTTTTATTATAACTATCACTTTCTTATTTTAAGTGATGTCTATGAAAAATGTCATATTATAAGTATTCATTTATTTGAATTAAAAAAGTTCTATAATTGAATTTCAATTTTATTTAGAAGAGTTGGAATATGTTAAAACAAAAAGTGCAATGAGAGTTTTGTACTTTTGTTATTAAAATATAATACTGTAGTCTAAGTTAAGTTCGATTATGAAATATTCGATTATAAGTGAAGGTTACATGAATTAAAAATTTGTGTTTCGTTTTTTGTCAAGAAAATTGTAGCAGTTAAAACTCCAATTTTTTCATTTTATATATCACATATTGATGTCATATGAAACATCATAAAAATTCATGAAAAATTTGGTGAACAAATAAAAAAGTTATAAGAGTTTAAAATAATTTGGGATTATGATGACATCTACGTGAGGTCATCATGTCAGCCGAACCATATGCAATGCCTAGAGTCGGCCACCACTTTCTTTTTTGAGATATTACCCGAAATAGGACTAAAACAGTTTGAAAATTCCAAAATAGGACTGCCATATTTTTATTCCCAAAATAGGACTAATTAGTGTCATGTTTTGGCAGTACCAGACTTCAAACATGACAGTATTTTCTAAACATGGCAGTAAATCCAGTAATTAGTCCTATTTTGGGAATAAAAACATGATAGTCCTATTTTGGAATTTTGAAACTGTTTTAATCCTATTTCGGGAACTTTCCCTTCTTTTCTTCTTTTTCAATTTTTTACCCTGTCAACACAAACCTCTAGTTTTACACTCCTCCACTCTCCTTCCCACTTTTACTCCCCCTTTTAATCCCCCACTACACCCAATTAAGAGTCTAAAGGTTCCATTTTTAATTTCTTGTCTCCTAATCTTTAACCACTACAAATGGTCTTATAGAGAATGTTGTGGTAGATGTTTATCATTTCTAATGACTACAACTTCATACAGCATAACAATGAGTAGTTGACAAGAATATCAAGATATTTTCATGGGGTGACACATATTCATGTTATGCGAAACTTGAGATCTGAGAAGAGTCATGACTATAGGGTCTAATGTAGAATGTGGCCGATCTAATACTGTATAAATTATTGTTGAACAATGTTAATAATCAAAGTGTATTGTTGGGCATTGACTAGTTTTGGACTCAGGTTGGGCCACCCGGCCCGTGGACCGGCCCAGCCCGCTACTGTGCGGGACCGGGATCAGCCCGGTTCTCGGGTCCGGGTCGGGCCTAGGCTCGGGGGGTAGGGCGGGTCCGGGCTCGGATCTCACATTTGGCGAACCGACCCGACCGGGTCAGGCCCGGGCCAAATTGATTTTGTTTTTTTTTCATTTTTGGGGTTCCACCGGGTTGGGCTTGATGGTTAGGATGGGTTTGGGGGGGTTTGGGAGGGTGGGGTGGGGGGGGGGGTTAGGAAAGCAAAAAAAACGCCAAACCGGAGGCACGGACCCGGTGGCTACCCGGCCCGGTCCCGGCCCCCGGGTCCACCATTCCTGAACCGCTAGCCCGCCTGGGTCTAGGCCCGACTCGCACATTGCATAAGAGAGACGCTAGTAAAATAAAATCATATAAGAGAGTCAGAGAATGAGCCAAGGACACTTTGGATAGTAAAAATGTGTTGGCATAATGCCATAATTTATACTTATAATTGTTCACATAAGGCATTTTCATGGGATGTACTTCTTAGTGACCTTGGTTGCTATCATCTATGGTTGGACTTGGGCCGGGTCGGGCCCGGGTCGGACTCGGGCCAGGTCGGGTCCGGGTCGGGCCCGGGTCGGACTCGGGCCAGGTCGGGCCCGGATCGGGCCTAGGCCCAGTCGGGCCGGCGGTTCTATATAGCTGGACCCGGGACCGGCCCGGGTAGCCAACGGGTCCGGTCCGGGCCTCGAGTTTCGTTATTTTTTTTTTTTGCTTAGCTACCCATCTCGGACTCCCCCTCACCCCCACAAACCCCCCAAACCCCTCCTAAACATCAAGCCCAACCCAGTGGAGCCCAAACAAATGAAAAAAACCAAAAAAAAAAAAAATTGGCCCGAACCGGGCCCGGCCGGGCCGGGCCTTGTTATGGGTGACCCGAGCCTGGACCGGAAACTCACCGGGTCGAGCCTACCCGGACCGGTCACTGATCGGGCCACCAGTTCGGGCCGGGCCGGAACTAGTGATGGATTCGGGCCGGGTCGGGCCGCCGGTTCAAGAAAAGTGGGCCCGGGACCGGCCCGCGGGTTGGACGGGTCCGGTTCGGGCCGGGCCACCCGCCCGGGTCACGGGTCGGGTCCGGTTCGGGCCGGTTTTTTTTTTTTTTAATTTATATTTATAGTTTATAGTTTTATACGAGTATTAAAAACAAACTTCAATTGCATTTATTTGAAATGAAATAGGAACTACATATAAGAGATAAACATTTTGAAAATTGTAATCAATCGGAACTTCCTGCACCTCCCGATCCTTTGGCTTTGTCACATGACTTCATATGCTTGATTGCCATCCCGAATCCGCCTGAAGCCCCCATTATACATTTTTTTTCGCACCATTTGCAAATTGCGTACCACATCCCGGTCTTCGGGTCCTTCTGCTTATCAAAATTATACCGTATAATGGCATTTTGATTTTCCATCTTAACTTCTTGGAGAAGAGAATATGAGAGTAGATATATAATATATTGGAGAATAAGAGAATTAGAGAGTAGAGAGATAAGAATAGGAAGAATTGGAGAAGAGATATGAAAAAATGTTTAAGATTAGGAGTATTTATAGGTTTTTTTTACCCCCCACCCCCCCACCAACCCCCCCCCACCACCCAACCCCCCGGACCCCCCCTTTACCCCACCCAACGGCTATATAGCCGTTTGGGTTGTCCCCAACCCCACCCCCAACGGCTAGTAGGAGCCCAAACAAAAATTTTTTTTTTAAAAAAAATTGGACCGGGCCGGGTCACAAAAATGCTGAACCGAGCCCGCCCCGCCCTTCCCACCGGTTCGGGCCCATACCCGGTCCCGGACCGCCCGAACCGGGCCGGTCCCGGGCCCGCACAGTACCGGGCCGGGCCGGGTCACGGGCCGGGTGGCCCGAACCGAATCCATCCCTAGCCGGAACAGTACCGGTCCCGGGCCGGTTCTGGCCCAGTCGGGCCGGCAGTTCTATATAGCTGGACCCAGGACCGGCCCGGGTAGCCAGCAGGTCCGGTCCGGGCCTCGGGTTTGGTTATTTTTTTTATTTTTTTTTGCTTAGCTACCCATCCCTAACCCCCCTCACCCCCACAAACCCCCCAAACCCCTCCTAAACATCAAGCCCAACCCGGTGGAGCCCAAACAAATGAAAAAAACAAAAAATAAATAAATTTGGCCCGAACCGGGCACGAGCCCGGCCGGGCCTTGTTATGGGTGACCCGAGCCTGGACCGGAAACCCACCGGGTCGGGCCTACCCGGACCGGTCACTGACCGGGCCACCGGTTCGGGCCGGGCCGGAACAGTACCGGTCTCGGGCCAGTTCTGGGTCAGACCACCCGGCCCGAGTCCAACCCTACTATCATCATGTACTTTTTCCTTTTTTGGAAAGGGAAAGCAATAAACACGTAGTTATATATAGAGGTGACCATTGATCCAAGACTGGACCGGACCAAAACCAGAACCGATTGGACCAGAATAAAAATTCTAGAACTATTGGACCAAAAACCAAACTTATATAATTTCAATCAAGGACCAGACCAGAGCAGTATCGGACCAAATTTTGATTTTTAATTAAAAATAATACTCCGTAACTTCTTTTATAACGAAAATTAATTCTGATGGTTATTAATTTATTTAAACATAGACCTTTCTTGAATAAATATTTGAATATAACCAAATTTAATTAGTAATTAATATTTCTTACACAATACATTTTAGAAAGAAAATATATTTAAAAATAATAATAATTAATTAATTACGGACCAACAGGTCTGGACCTAAATACTCTGGGTTCAAACCGAACCGGAAACTTCAACCGAAGACTAGACCAGTATGTAACCGATCTGGACCAACCTGTCTGATTCGGTCCGGTTTTCTAGCTAGAATAGGAGGGAATTGCTAGCACGGAACACATTTTAACTTGGGCTCCTTAAAAACTATAAATTCATCATACCCGATGTTTTAATCACATTCAAATATTCAATGGATTGCCAGGGTTGTGTGCTTGTGTCGCATAAATAGAATGAAGCGTCATGGACACCGCCCTGAAGGCTAAAGAAAACCACATAGATGGAATATGATTGATTAACCTTAAAGGTTCAAAGCTTTATACATCTGACACTGGTTGTAGCGTTGTACCACATTCAAGTTAAGAGACATGGTAAATCATCATGAAATAAAATCACGCACAAAGTTCGGTTTGGCCTCATTCTCACATATTAGCTTTGTGATCCTACTGGTGATTAGATATACTACCCCTCCCTAGACCCTAAAGCTTGCTAATCCAACACATTTCTGTTTTTGCTCAAAACAGAATTTCATCGATTAAAGCTGAAAAAGATAGACAAATATTGAGAAACTGGAAGGACATTCCCGATTTCCCTGCCTATCTCAAATAAGAACTGATGGGTTACATCGCAAGTATTCTGGGCACCTGCACAGGGCAGAGATCCAGTAAGGCCATCATTTCCTATACAATCGAGTACATGGCCCTTAGAAGACCATGCCTGACCCTCAGGACTGACAGCTGTGCAATAGCACTCTTCACAAAGACATCTAGCCACTTCATACAAGCTTCATCTCAAGTTCGATCATGCACACATCTATGACACCGCATTAAACAATTCAACCTCAAGTAAGGATCGACAATAGCTAATAATTAGAAGATGAGCTCGCATAACAACACATTTACTTATTTCTAAAATGTTACTTTGTCTTGGGAAAATACTTTGTTGGTCTTACTAGTCTTAAAGACTTCCTACGGCCAACAAGGTACAAGTGGAACCAACAGAGCAAAGACTGCATTCAATTGGAAATCAGGTTGACGCTTCTTTTATCCGAATTATTCATTAATTTTCACAACCCCCATAATCAAAGAATATTTTCCCCCATATATACAATCATTATAAGATAAAGTAGGAGATCAGATAATTTAGGGAGAACTCATGCATGCAAGCAACTTCTGGCACATGCTTCGCACATCTGCTGAAGGATCGGATTCAGAGAGGTCATCAAGCAAAGTTCTGGCTTCTAGCAATCCCACTGAAATACTTTGTACTACTGCCTCTTCACTTGCCATTAGGGATGCAAGTAACTTGGCGCCCCCCATTCTTTCCTGATGTACACCAAGAACTAATAAGAACTCTTAATCCCAAGAAAAATTTATACTATGTATCATGCAATGACGGAACACACTCACATCAACTTTCAAGAAAGAGCAATCATCATAACCTTAATCCAATTACGTTGGATTGGTTACAATAAAGTTAGTGTTAATTAATGCTAAGATTGTCAGTGTGAAGCTCAAGACAAGATACCCTGCCCGATTCCCACCCGATCAATGTGGGATCCACTACTAGTGTAATACTTGAGGCTCCAAACATCATTTCCTGTATCTCCCACGTTCACTGAACCGTAGAGATAAGCAAGGCACTTTCTATGGCAGAAGATCCAATTCAGACAAGTACTCATGATAGTCCTTATGTCCCAAAATAAACTAAGTAGTTACTATCCATACGGTCAGCTTAACTTCCTTTTTTAACCCCTAAAAGTCTAAAACTATGTGCCATAATTTTGTGAAATTTGAACTCTGTTTTTGCAATTCAATAAACAATTGGTATCATTTCTAAGTATGTAAATTGTAATTATTAACACTACTTTATGTGTTATTAAAGATAAACTAACTTTATCATCGATCAAATATCATTAACCATAACACAGATTTTTAATAACGGATGCAGGTAGTATATCATAGAGCAAATATCTGAAATACCTTGTCAGACTCTCCTCTGAGCGACCTGATGGAAGCTTCAAGTATAGCAGAGGAGTAAGGAAGAACTGCAGACTTCAGATGGTAGACCACTGAGAATATAATCTGGATGCATGCAGACCTAATGTCTGAATCTGTGATTACCTGATAAAAAGAAAGAAGTGCTTAGATTAATATGACAAGCTTAGATAGCCCTACCCGCTGAAATGTATGCTCAGCTAAACCAAATTAGTGCTCAGATTAATATTAGCATACCTTAACTGAACGGATAATGTGGGGAAGAATTTTAGAAATCAAGGCCTTCTTGCCAGAGTCTGGGATCTTCTGACAAACACTAATGAGAACATTTGCCATGCATAAGCGGAATGAGATATGAGCCATTGCCTTCTCCTGTGTTCCCAACTTTAGAGGAAGTTTGTCTGGATTGTCACAAGTCAATTGCTGGATTATGTAATTCCAAACTGAGCCGGTGAGTGCATCCCCTACAATTGTGTAATAGTACTTTTGTCAGAAGCAGAAGCAGAAAAGGATCTATGAACTTAAAGGGTATCCCTGAAATGTGCTGCTACGGTATACCTGAAGTTGATTTCTCGGATGTTTTCATAGCTTGTAGTTCAGTACATACCATCAACGCTAGACAGTCAATGCACCCATGTTGAACCTTTGAAACTGTAGAGAACATATCCAAAACTAAGGCTTTGCCTGTTTTCAGGAAAATGTTTTCCGGACTTTCCACTTGTGGAAATTATTTTCCACATTTTCCTGTATTGAGCACCTGATAACGTTTTCCTGAAGGATACTTTTTCTAGATTTTTGTGTAAAACAAGTTCCCCTTTCGAGGTAAACATTATGCACAGAAAACGTTTTCCACTTACTTTCATGCAATCAAACGAAGAGTAAATCACTTACCACCATTTTCATTCATTGATGGCCATAACAGAATAACCTCCACTGTCTTCCTTATTCTAAGCACATCCGGGTGTTTATATGATTCCATGCCTCGAACCTATTCAAGGAAATATATGGGTGTGAGCAATGACAAGATTGCATAATAAGCACTACTTCCAAGGATGAAAACACAAACTTAGTTAGGTCAAAGAGATCTAACCGTTAAAGACGTGCACATTGCAAACAGGCAAGCTTTAATCTTTAGCAAGTCCTTAGTATTTGTAGCTTTTTCCAATTCAAAAGTAATAATTGGAACAAGAACCTGCAGAATCAATCAGATACAGAATTGTATATTTTGCAAAGAAGTTAGCACAAAAACCCTAACACTAACTAAACACCAACCCTCAACAGTTGTTGGGAGTTGGTACATGTGGATTTAGACTTAGGGTCTCATATTTACCTACAAAGTCAAAATCATACCTTGGGATGAATTCTCCCACAAAGCTCCGCTGAGAGTTTACGGACATCTTCAAATTCAGATTTGTTAAATGCCCTGTGTGAAATAAAATTTCACCATATCATATTCTGATTTTAATATATAGTTCACAAAATTCATTCTTCTAAAAACCTGTGGATTAGCAATGCAGTAATGCACTGATCAGGATGCATTCCAAAGCCGCCAACATCTGCAAGCAAGGAAATACTTGGATTTTTTACTGGGGTGTGTTAGGGCATCAGAGGTTAGCTTTATTGAACACAATTTGATTTTTGAATTAGGCAATAAGTGAACTGAACCGAATTACTCAAAGCATACAATATTACCACTTGTTGGCAATTTGTTCGGTAGTTCACCATACATGAGAGAAGAACCAAGATTGTCAAAAGCACTCAAGGGAAGAAGCCTGATTACAAGCAAAGGGCAAAGACGACTGAAAATTGAAAGCTGCCATTTTTCGGTAGTATTGATTGTACCCAAACTTTCACTGAAACTGCTGAAAAAGAAAGGTGGGATTGAGAGAGAGAGATTAGTTAACTGCATGTTTTGATAAGTTGATAAAAAGTTACGAATAACTGGCTGAGCCAGATCTGTGCAGTACACATGCAAGATTGAAATGTGCTACCACCTGGCAAAAAAATAACCGAGGAGGATTCCCCCTCTTGATTGCCCTATATGAGTCAATTTAGTTTTTCAGAATCTTTCCAGCAAGGTGACAGTACACGCAATGAGTAAACTATAAACTATCAGTAGCTTGTTTCAAGGGGTATCAAGTATCATAGCAGATGAGATCATGAGATCACGGACCACTCTATCAAGTTAATGTGATTGTGTGTGGGTGAGATAGTGAGGATCAAAGTATGGAGGCAGAAGGAGAAACAATCAAGAAAGAAGTTGACATTTTATAAATAGAAGGATAATGAAAAAGACACGTGTAGAAGAAGAAAGAAAACAAAATGAGATACTCGAAGATATTCCCCAGCTAGAAAACCTGCCCAACAGCCTAGGGGTACCCAACTCTAATGATCACAAACTGTATTAGATCTCTTCAATACCTCCTATGCTAAAGGAAGTCCTTATTTATAATCAAGCACAATATGTAAATAAAGCATATGATAAATTAATTGAACAGCTTCATTCTACAGATGACTAATCTGATCCCTGAAATCAGTAATTGATTGACTCTCGTTATTTTGCTAAATTTTCTTCATTTTTTTCGCCTTTATATTGCCGCTCTCAAATTGGTTGTAATTGAACTCCTATTCCTTCCTTTAACCTTTAACAGAAATGCGGGGTTTGTTGTGGAGGTTGTGGAAAAGATGACTGAGTGATGTTAAGAGGAGTGGTGGCAGTGGGAACAATCACATTGGAGGCAGTCCTGCCAGAGGTAGCAGTGGTGATGAATCGATGATCGTCAATCTGATGTTGGAAGTGGAGTGAGTATTATCGGTAGTGAAGAGGTCAGTGATAAATCTTGGAAAGTAATCTTTATTACTCCCTCCATCCCACTAACAATGGGACAAGAGAGAGACACGCAAATTAATAAAAAGTGGTTTATGTGGTTGATATTGAATTGATAAAATAAAGTAAGAATGATTTAGAGCCACACAAACTTTACAAAATTTGGTATGAGACAATCTTAGTGGGATGAACCGATAAGGTAAAATGGGACAATCTAAAGTGCAGCGACCCTTATGGATACTTGGATGTGAAATGCATTATTGGCTTATCATTCATATCCAAAATATAACTGAACTATGTCAAAACTTGAAAGATTAGCAAATCAGCTTTCAAGTTTCAATAGATGAAACTTTTGGTAAAAAATAGTTGGCATAGTACAACATCATCTACGGGATGCCATAAATGATGAACTGATACCAATAGAGCTGGATGTGCCATTTTTAGGTTAAAAATACCATTTTGACTGAATTCTTGGGAAAAGGTTTTTTCCCTGCTCTTCTTAGAAAAAACAAAGCCAGTAATAATATGTTCTGAAAGAGCATGACAGAAAGCAGCAGGTTGGAACAATTAATTATAGGCAAAGAGGCAAAGAGAAAAGTAATCAAAATCGAAGATGAGTTGTATAAAGTTGAAAGAAAATTTAGTAACATACATGTAGAAGAAGAAAGAAAGGAATATCAAATACCCAACAATACTCCCCAACAAGAACTTGCCCAACATCCTATAGCTGCCCAACTCTGAGTCGAATATTCTATTAATCTCTCGATACCCCCACTGCTGCTAAGAAAGTCCTTATTTATATTTTATAATCAAAGCATAATGTGTAAATAAGGCAGCTAATAAACTGATTGAAGAAATATTAAAGTGAGACTAAAGTGTTTTATTTCCAATCATTCTGAGACCTGCAATCTGTAATTAATTGACTCTTTATTTTATACAATTTTCAATTCCTTCACCTCTTTCAGTGTGTGTGTGCATGTAGTATCCTAAACATGCTCAGAGTTATATACTACTAAATTTTCAATTCCTCCACCTCTTTGTAGTATCCGCCAGAGAGTTATATACTACTAATGTAGGAATGAAAATTAATGGAAATAAAATGATCTACTCACTCCTCCTGCCCCCTCGTGTATGACAGAAGTTGCTGAAAGACCAGTTCTGTATTTTCCGCCAAGTGTTCACTTATGAAGCTTAGAAACCTGACAATAACTGCATTTGAAGGCTCCATAAACAGCTTATCGATCAAGGAACCAACTAGTAAATCCCAATGTTCAACCTGCAGTTATTTTGGACTACAAAATAAGGAAAGTAATAGCACTTCAGTGAGATCTAAGAGACTAAATACTACAACAACATTCAAGCCTTAGTCCCAAATGATTTTAGGGTCGCTAAGAGACTACAAATCAATGAACTAATTTCATTCTTACAAGCAGCTTCCTGCAGATGAAATGTGCACACATACCTTTTTTTAAAGGTGCACACATACTTTTTATGTATTATGCATTTTGCATTTCTCTCCCACAATGACAGGGCTAATGGGACATGGGAAACAGCATAACATTTGTAATTTGTATAGCAAGACAAAGGGTAAAGAAGGTGATGCATTAGAACTCAAGATAAGTAACAAATTAAATGCGTATAGCATAAGCACTTTATCAAGCATCAATAGGATTCTAAATTTAGTTCTGAAATTTTTAAAACATTACAACAACATGATAGAACACTGGTAGTAATCTAAGTAAAACAGTAGCATTTCTATAGAAATCAACTAAGAACAGATCGCAATGAGTTTATTGAAGTAGGGAGGAAGTCAAAGTAGGAATACAAGCTAGGGACAATTCGAGATGCCCAATCTCCAAGTCCACAGCCAACTGAAATAACAGCCTCCTCCACCGGTAGGCGGCGGTAGCTTAACCTTCTATTTATAGCTAATATCCACGCAGGGATAAACCAGATATTAACAAAACAGTTCAGCTAACTAACTATCTGTTTTATTCTTCCTCCTATGATAGACCTTTGTAAAGTATTTAATAGGCTGCTCATCCGAGTGCCTATCACAACATCCGAGCCTTAGTCCCGAAAGAGTTTGTGGTCGGCTTTTTAAACATCAAAGAAAGTATATCCATGAATAGAAAAGATATTCTTAAAATAAAATGAAGAGACCAAAGACCAATTTAAAAGCAGGAATTTGATATGCTGGGAAACATGACATATAAATACCAACTTCTGGGAAAAAACATGAAAATGGAACCCGTAGTTGAATTAAAAGAGATCCCCTTTCGTCCCTGTAAAAGATTCCACTTTCCTTTTCTGTCCATCTTGAAAAAGGTTTGTCTTTACTTTTAAGTAAAAAATTATATTGTTCGGGTTTTTTCTTTCTCCTCTACATAAATTTTAACCACGCAATTTTTCTGTTCTATATAAGGGTGCCAACAAAAAGGGGAAGCATTTCTAGGGCTGGAGGGAGTAGTTGTTAACCTGCTATTAGTTCAGACTTCAGCCGTAACTTCTCATGGAACAGAATAAATAGACTCAAGAAAATAGCTTACAGTTTTTGACCACTGATGAAGCAGCGCCAGCACCCTATCAATGTCTAGTTGTGATCCTGATAGAATGCAATAAAATGAGAATAACAATATGAGCTTTCAAAGAAAACCACAAAAATATCAACTATAAAATGATAACTGGTAAATTCTATAACTCTCTAGAAAATCAATAGATGTTAAATAAGATTAAACATCAACCAACTTAATGTAAATTTTATGTCACTTCTCTTGATTGTTAATCAAACCAGAAAAACTATTAAAAACTCATTGTGGAGCTTCTTCCATTATGTATTAGCCTTTCACATGAACTATGATAGGGAAGTAATGAGAGAGATGCTATTTGCAATTTCAAAGAGATGTTTACACACAAGTATATTAAAGGCTGACTTGTGAAGACAGGTATTAAAAAATTTCGCAGGTGCTGGTGCTGATGCCTTGTGTGTCATGGTGATGTTATTGCTGGTCCATTTCATGCCGCACTCATACCCAAAGGAAACAGTATCTCACATGATCACATCTCTGATAATTATTAGTAAATTTACTGATTTGTAGTTTTGTTATATTGTCTTTGTAGAAGAAAGATAGGATAGAACCTAATCTGTCCAGTGGAAAAAAGAAAAAAGAAAAAAATGATTTACTGTGGAAAAATATTAAAAAATGATTTACTTTTGAGAAAAAGCCTAGGTTCTACCCCACCTATTCATGAAAGAACAGATTTATTTACTGTGCAAATCATGAAAGCAAAAATGATATGGAGTGACCAAGATAAACTCTGAATCATAAATTATTAGTATGCTTGACCAATTAAATAGAAGAGGTGAAACCCTTATACTGTGAGCTTATCTGCAAATTTATAGGAAAAAGCAACCTTTCAATCACAACATACAGCAGAAAGGAGGATTGCATAGAAAAATAGGGAAACTATTATTTTCCAACACACTACTTTCCCTGCATTCCCCCACAAATCTCACTCAACCTTGTGATGTCTTCATGATGAATCGACATGTTTAACTTTCCCAAAGTGGTAGTGTGAATTGTGAAAGGGGCTCTAGCCAAGGCTCTTACTCCACAACAAAAGCTAGCTCAAAAGTGGAGATCTGACACAACCTAGGTATCAATCTACCCATCAACAACTTCTTGTGGATCCAATGTGGGGTCATAGCATTGCCACACCGTTGACAAGCTAGACATCCGTGGATCTATTAGGCTTATTCCTGGCAGCTTTGCCCGGACCTTATCAAGCAGTCAGGCACCAAGTAGCCCTTTCCCACTATATACCAAATTACCAACTCTCGACGAGGTTGAGAGAACCACTTGCAGGCAATCAAGCAAAGACCCCAACTCCACCACAAAAATTAGTTGGTGCACCCCAAATCCTCAACACCACAGCTTGCATCTTCTTAGTTCTTACTGTATTATACTTTTTAAAAATTGATCAGTAGAGTACATCAGCTGTACATGTATTGATGTATATCTTAAACATTGCAGATTATCATCTAGCAGCTTCTGTATGTAATTATCCAACTTTCATCAACATAAAACTAATGATGCATAATATTCAATTGCTATGCCATAATATATATTTTCTTCAAAAGAAAGAAACACACCTTTTGTAGCAGCTGGACCGTCGCTGCAAAGATAACAGAGCAGTTCATTAAAAGATATAAACCTTGGAAGAATCAAATTCCTTCATTTTTATCGGAAGACTGGTATAGGACCACTGTCATTAACTAATTTACCTACCTGAGACAATCTATGATGATGCATAACACCTCAGGCTTCTGTTTGTAGTTTTTCAGTAGTGATATGAATGCAGTTCCAGCAGATGATTGTACTCTTTGATTTGAAGAATAGATAAGATTGACCAATCCAGGCAAAACTAAAGAAGGATCTGCAAGCATACATTGAAGGTAAGATGGTGTTGTTATTTAACAGAATGTATGAGAAATACAACACAAAGACATGTGCTAGGACAATTCGACAAATGGCAACATTTGGCAGATATCTCATATGGACTATATCCTGCCCTTATACAACCATATCATGAATTTTATTAAATATAAACCTAGTTAATTAAAAAAGACACAAGATGGAGAACCATGGCATGCCATTATCTTATGCAGGACTGATAGGGACCTGGAAACTCCCCCTAATAAGAATAATATTAGGTATTTTAATATTGTATAATAAAATGGTTATAAGCCCAGTACTTAGGGTGGAGGGCCGGCCCTTTAGGAGAGTATTATAATAATGAGTCGATAGCGGGAAAAGGAGGTAGGCAGAACATGGATTGAGCTAGGAACTGGGAGAGTGAGGCATATCGAAGAGTCTCGTTCTGTATTTTTTTCTCACTCTTTCTGTTTTCCGCTATTGTACGTTGGTTTACTGTGCTGTGAGGATCAGTTTCTATCATTGGTATCAGAGCAACGACTTGGAGAGTTGTTAATGACTTTGACGAGAGCAAGGATGGAGAATCGAATGGAAAATCTAGAGCATGACCAGGCCGAGATGCGAACAGCAGTGAATGAGTTGCGCAACATGCGCACGACGATGGAGGAGATGCGCAACTTACTACTTCAGCAAAGTCAACATCGCTCGTTGGGAAGATCGAGGACAACAAGGCGACGACCGCAGTGTGAAGAGCAGAGCTCATCCCAATGGCGTGAGGAATCGCTGAGCTCCCAGGCGACTTCATTCATCCGTGAGCAATCTCCACACCGAGAACAAATTCAGACAGGAAGGAAGGTGGATCTACCGATATTCCATGGAGAGGACGCTTATGGGTGAATGAGCAGGGTGAACATTCTTCAGACTCAACCAGGTATCAAATGAAGAAAAGGTTGAACTGGTAGTGATCGCCATGGAGGACAAGGCCCTGAACTGGGTCCAATGGTGGGAAGAGCAAACTGAGGAACGTACCTGGGAATCCTTCAAGGCAGCTTTGATCAGATGGTTTCAGCCAGAGTTGGTTCAGAATCCGTTCAGGCCTATGCTAAGCATTAAGCAGACTGGTAGCGTAAGGGACTATAAAGAGAGAATTGAACTGGTAGTTGCTCCTTTGAGGCACACTGATTCTGAAATGCTGAAAGGATGTTTTCTGAATGGTTTGAAAGAAGAGGTGAAGGCTGAGCTTAAACTGTGCCCGTCTGCAACCTTATCTGAATTGATGGGCAAGGCCTTGTTGCAAGAAGCGAAAAACACAGCTATGAGATCAGGGAAATATAGGGAAGAAGACAAAAAAAGGCTGGAAAGAACAGGGAGGTACTATGGTCAGGCATTTGGACTGGGTGGAAGGAGTTAACGGAAGAATACATGCCATTAATCCACAGACTGTTGAGAGAACCAATACAGAGAGCAAAATGGGAAAATCTTCAGTACTTAACCAGAGTGGGAAGAGTGGGACAAGATTAACTCAGGCTGAACTAGAAGAAAGAAGTCAAAAGGGCCTATGTTTCAAATGTGGAGACAAATGGAGCAAAGAGCATGATTGTGGAATGAGACATTATCAGTTTGTCCTGATGGAAGATTCAGAAGAAGAGAAGGAAACAAATGATCAGCTGTCTGAACTGGATGTCGCGTATAACTCACTAAAACCAAATGCCAGATCAATCTCTTACTAGTTACTACACACCTTGAGGACAAGGTGGTAGTTAAAGGGGGGATGATGATAGGGACCTGGACACTCCCCCTAATAAGAATAACATTGGGTATTTTAATATTGTATAATAAAAGGGTTATAGGCCCAGTACTTAGGGTGGAGGGCTGGCCCTTTAGGAGAGTATTATAATAATGAGTCGATAGGGGGGAAAGGGGGTAGGCAGAACTTGGATTGGGTTAGGAACTGGGAAAGTGAGGCCTCTCAAAGAGTCTCAATCTGTATTTTCTTCTCTTTCTTTCTGTTTTCCGCTATTGTACGTTGGTTTACTGTTTGCTGTGAGGATCGGTTTCTATCAAGGACCAATAATGATACTCTGTTAAAAACGTAGTATTTAAAAGCAATAACAGAATTAAAGCACCCCTGAAGCAGAAACAAGTTGTTACGGTCATGTGAAACTGTGGAAGTCATTTCTCCAATAATATGTCATACAGAAATAATCACAACTCGGAAGAAAGTTGTCAGCAGACTCATTAACAACTTACCGACAAAGGGAATCAAGCTACATGCTTGTTTGCAAATAATGACATCCTCTTCTTGCAGAAAATCCAATAAGTTGTTCACTATATCTTGCCTGCAGATAATAAGCCCATTTATAATATCTTTGCAGCGGTCTTTAAAAAATGTATAAATACATAATGCACCCAAATTGGGTAAAAGACTAACCAATGTAAATTCACCAAAATCAAAATTTAAGATTAAAGTTAGTACTATTGTACCGCATTGACTGAGGAAGTGTACCATCGGATTCTAATGATACATGGATAATGTCTGAAATAAAACGAAGAGCATTCCTTCTTTGTGAAAGATTTCCAGTAACAAGGCGCTTTAAAACATCGTGGAAACACTTAATGTCTAAGCATCTGCAAACCAAAAAAAGTAGATTGTTAGGGCACCTGAACTTATCTCTTGAGAATTGAGATGGCAGAAATGAGTAAACGAACATACATGAAGCAATACTCTGCAACAAGCCTAACAACTACTTTTGCGGCCCCATCTTCTTCATCCAAAAGATGTAACAGCATTGGTAGACTAGCACCTATCTCTTTAAATTCATCAGTTTTAGCCAATCTTTTATTTGTCTTAAAGATAACAACTCGTAGGATGCATGTAGCTCCCTCAATGACTTCATCATCAGCACCATGAAGCTTCAAAGGATACCAAAAGTATGTTGTCAATGTACATAATAGCCACATATACCAAACAATTACACTAGGCGATCTCAAAATGACAAGGGAAGGTTTGCTCCTTAAACACCTTTCTGGTGGGACCCTTCTCCGGACCCTTGCCATGCGGAGACGCTAATGTGCACTGGGCTGCTCCCCCCCCCCCCCCCCCCCCCCAAATAAAAGTCCTTGGTGTATGGTTTCCCTTAAGAAAAATAGGGGTGTGGTGTGTGCGGTGGAGGGTGTGAAGGTGTGATGTAATAAAAATTGGCTTCCCTCAAAACCTAACAATTTTGGTAGGTTTAAGAGAATATATTTAGATTTTAGAACATCTTTCTTTAATAAACTAACTCGTAACAGTGATGAAAAAGATACTAATGGACATGACTATTAGATGCATAACATCATTTCTATATATCTATAAAATAAATATTGTAAAGCACACACTATACTCACCAATAGTAACCAATTAATCAAATGAAAATGGGTTTATTATTCTAAGCATCATGCAATGGACAATGTTTACCTGTGATATGAGAGCTTGAGATATCTGAGAACCATATTCTGATATTGCAGTTTCAAATTGTGTTCCGACTAATCGCCCCAATAGAAGGCAAAGGCAATTGATGAAAAACTTGAGGGTATCAGTTCCACTTTCTTTGTTTCTGGAAGGCTCTTTAGAACGGGTCTCTGCGAAAAACTGGAAATATTTATGATGATAAGTTGCATGAAAGTGAGATGAAGCGGAAGAGTGGTCACAAAGAATTAGGATGTTTTTAATTGGACTGAAATTTTCTGGTCTGATCTGGTATGGTCTAAACTGGTCTAGTAGATGCGTGTTCTATGTTTACTTTATAACCGTCGAAGTCTGGGGCTGAAATTAGTCCAATTAAAAACATCTTTAGACTGAGCTTCTCAATCATTTACATGTAACAGATGAACAGATCAGTTCATTTAATTCAATACTTATATTATAAATTACTACCTCCGTCCCAAATTGTTTTGCAAAGTTAAATCATCCCTATTGATAATTAATTCAATTTTAATAATTAAAATTCACATATTCACAAACTACATTAAAATCTCGATAAAATTGCAAAATCCTAATTAAAATTTAATTAAGAATTGATATCCTAATTACAACAACAACAACAACATCCAAGCCTTAATCCCAAAAGAATTTGGGGTCGGCTAACATGAAATCGATCTATGATATCGATGCCAAAAAGAGAAGGCGGACAAGAAAAGGAAAAAAAAGTAAGATAAAATGAATAAAATAAAGATACATAAATATAAGATAACAATAACACAAGAATATAACCAAGATAAAAGAAAAATAAATAAAAGAGCATAAAAAAGCTAGAAGATAAAAATAACATAAGAATATAAAAAGATAAGGAAGGTAAACGATAAAAGAAACAAGAGAGGAAAGGTAGACAAGACATCAATCGTCCACATGGATGTGCGCCCTCCACTTTGCTCTCTCCAAAGCCATACTCTCATCCACCCCAAGAAGATGCATATCAGTTCTGATTACTCTAATCCACGTCTTTTTGGGTCTTCCCCTCCCTCTCTTCTCTGACTCTTCTCCCCACCCCTCAAGTCGTCTAACAGGTGCATCACTCGGTCTTCTATGCACATGTCCAAACCACCGCAAACGAGACTCCTGCATCTTATCTTCTATAGGTGCTACTCCCACCTTTTGTCTGATTACCTCATTCCTCAGTCGGTCTTTTCTGGTATGTCCACACATCCAACGCAACATACGCATCTCTGTCACACTCATCTTTTGAATGTGGCATTGATTTACCGCCCAACACTCTACGCCATACATTAATGCCGGCCTAATTGGTGTACGATAAAATTTACCTTTCAATTTAGTCGGCATACCTCGATCGCATAGAAATCCTGAAGCACTTTTCCATTTCATCCACCCAGCTCTGATTCTATGACATACATCTCCATCTAATTCACCATCCTTCTGAATTATGGATCCCAAGTAACGGAACATATCACACACCGGTATCTCCTTACCATCAAGAGTAATCCCACTGTTGGTACCACTTCTACCTCCACCGAACTTGCACTCCATATACTCAGTCTTGCTTTGGCTCAGTTTGAAACCCTTGCTCTCCAATGTTCGTCGCCATACTTCCAACTTTGCTTTAACACCGGATTGTGTCTCATCAATCAATACAATATCGTCGGCAAACATCATGCACCACGGTATATCTTCTTGAATTGACTTCGTAAGTTCATCCATAACTAAAGCAAATAAGAAACGACTCAGAGCAGATCCTTGGTGCACTCCAATAGTAATAGGGAACTCTGCGGTCCTCCCTACACTAGTGCGGACACTTGTAGTACAAGCATCATACATATCCATGATGATGCTGATATACTTACGTGATATGCCTTTTCTAGTTAAGACCCACCAAAGAACTTCTCGAGGTACCCTATCATATGCCTTTTCTAAGTCAATGAACACCAAATGCAGATCCTTTTTAGTGTCTCTATACTTCTCCACAACTTGTCTAAGAAGGTGAATGGCCTCGGTTGTTGAGCGTCCAGGCATAAAACCAAATTGATTCTCCGAAATTTTCACACTTTTACGTAGTCTTTGCTCAACCACTCGCTCCCAAAGTTTCATAGTGTGACTCATAAGCTTAATCCCTCGATAGTTAGCACATTTTTGCACATCACCCTTATTTTTAAATAAAGGAATGAGAGTACTCTTCCGCCAACTCACAGGCATTTTGTTGTTTCTCCAAATCATGTTGAAGAAACGTGTTAGCCACTCGATGCCTTTCTCTCCCAAACTTCTCCAAACCTCGATCGGTATGCCATCTGGGCCCACTGCTTTCTTCCGGCCCATTTTTCTCATAGCCTCTTTAACTTCTGTTGTTTGAATCCTTCTCACGAAGTCCCTATTTACCATACACTCTGGTATAGTAAGATCATCAATACCTTGGACTTTATTCCCGTTGAACAAGGTATCAAAGTATGACCTCCACCTCTCTTTTATTTCTTCATCGTCCATTAGTACCCTTTGATCGACATCCTTCACACACTTAACTTTTCCGATATCTTGACTCCTACGGTCACGAAGGCGAGCAAGTCTGTAGATATCTTTTTCTCCTTCCTTAGAATCCAACTTTACATACAATTCCTGATTCACTTTTCTTTTGGCTTCCTTCACAGCTTTCTTTGCTCTTCCTCTAGCCTCTTTGTACTCCTCTATGTTCTCGTCGCCCCAACTTTTGCCCAATTTCTTATAGCATTCTCTTCTGGCCCTTATTGCTTGTTTCACCTCATCATTCCACCAAGATGTGTCCTTTTTTGGTGACAAACATCCTTTAGATTCTCCGAGTATCTCCTTCGCCACTTTGTTAATGGTGGACTCCATTGGTAACCACACATCATCCACGTGTGCGTCATTATCAATAGACCAAACATCTTCCTCCAACATTTTGTGTGCAAAACTTTGTTGGAGATTCCCCTCGAGCCTCCACCATTTTATCTTTGGCTCCCCTTGTACCTTAACTCGTCCACTCTTTTTACCTCGAAAATCAAGCACAAGCATCCTATGCTGAGTGAAAGCACTCTCACATGGGATAACCTTACAATCAGTGTAGCTAGTTCTCCAAGTCGTCTGTACTAAAAAGTAGTCAATTTGGGTACTATTAGCTCCACTTCTATAGGTGACAAGGTGAGAGTCTCTTTTCTTGAACCAAGTGTTCATCACAGCTAACTCATATGTCAAGGCAAAATCCAGAATGTTCTTCCCCGCTTCATTTCTAGTGCCAAAACCATGTACGCCATGGACACTCTCAAAACCATCACGACTTGGGCCCACATGCCCGTTGAGGTCGCCTCCTATGACCAGTTTCTCTCCACTTGGCACTCGTCGCACCACTTCCTCAAGATCCTCCCAAAATTGTTGAGTGATAGATGCATCCAATCCCACTTGTGGTGCATAGGCACTAACCACGGACACAATCTCATCCCCTATTATCAACTTAATGCTCATGATGCGATCGTTCTTCCTAAACACTTCAACCACACCGTCAACATAATCATGTGCCACCATAATGCCTACTCCATTTCTGTTCCTCTCTCTCCCCGAGTACCAAAGCTTAAAACCTACGGGATTAATCTCGCGTGCCTTTTCTCCAACCCACTTACTTTCTTGCATGCACATTATGCTGATATTTCTCCTCTTCATAACCTCGGCTATCTCAGATGATCTTCCCGTAAGAGAGCCAACATTCCATGTCCCAAAGCGCAATCTAACACCCTGCCTTCTCTTCTTCACTCCACATCGACCCCCACCATGCCCTTGCATATTTGACACCATCCCCGGGCATTGGAGTGGCGCATCGCTTCCGGGCGACGACCTAGCAGCCTTAGCATTCTTATCACCACACTCAGGCCTATGAAGTGTAGCGCGCCCTTGCCCATTTGACACCACCCCCAGGCGGAGGGATGACGCGTCGCTTACGGGCGACGACCTGGTTGTAGCGATATTCATATTTCGATTCATGTCATGTGATGTGACTAAGTGATACTGTTGGCCGTCACGCGCCTACCACAGCACCCTCCTCCTCTATCCTGGCTTGGGACAGGCATGATACCAAAAAAATGATCTCATGGCGGAGTTTTGATATCTTAATTAAGTGAATAAAATGATATTGCTTGACCCAAAAAAAAGTCAAATTTGAAACTAAATTTGGGACGCAAGGAGTATTAATTATCCACGAGCACATTGTCAAGTACACCAGCCCATAATTATTTTTGATGTTTTTAAACTAAATATAAATCTAGTTGATACGACAAGGACACATCAATCTGTTAATTTGTTTAATTTGTTCTAATCTAGATTAGGCATTAGATTGTGCATTCTTTCACGTTTCAAATGCTTAATAAAGTCACCCTAGATCTAACATTCACACTTTAGCAACCTAAAGCTTTGAAGTTTGTCTCCCATGGACTCCATATATAGATTGTTGCATTCACTCGTGCATGAAATAGAAAGACATATCAGAGTTCATGTTCAATTCCTTTGGTTTTTCTTGTACTCCTTCCATTATCAAATAACTGTCAATTCAGGAAAAATAATACTCCGTCGTCCTATAAATTTTTCCTGGTTTGACTTAGATCGGTGTTTAAAAAAGTGAGAATAAAGTGGATATGTATGGTTCTGGTTAAGTAAGAAAAAGGTAAATGAATATTAGGCACACAACACTTTCCAAAAAGCGGACTGGGAAAAAACATTTGGGACATCCCAAAATGGTAAGTAGGAAGAATGTCAAGGGAAGGAGGGAGTATTTATTTAAGTGATAAATTGATAATTAATTCTATACTAAATGACAAACATATCCCTTTTCATTTCTACAGTTTTGGAAGCATCAAACAAAAGTTGAAATAACTAAAATATTTTATTACTCCCTCCATCCCAAAAAATACTTCCCAATTTCCTTTTTGGTCCGTCCCAAAAAATACTTATCACTTACTAAAAATGGAAAGTTTCTAGTCCTAAAAATCCAATTTTGCCCCTATTTATAATTTACCTTCCCACACTCTCTTTCCCACTCTTTCTCGGTCCATTTGTCTGACACTTTGTCGCATTATCTCCTTACCCTAGTCGACCCCCTCTCTCTTACATTATTCCGTCGATATCACCTTCACTCTTCCGTTCCT